AGTCTGTACCTGTTTGATTTACCACCTTCCTTAGCAACTCCTTAATTGTCCTATTCATTCGCTTTACCCGCCCAGATGCCACCCAGATGGGTGGTGAGGAATGTGCCACTGCTGCCTGATACCTAAGGCTTGCAGCAGTTGTTTAACAACAGCCCCAGTGAAATGGGGACCTCAGTCTGAGTCAATGATTTTAGGAGCTTCAAACCGGCATATTACCTCTGTCCAGAGTTTCTTTGCTGTGGCTTCAGCAGTGTGGGTGCGCATAGGAAATGCCTCCACCCACCTGCTGAAGGAGTCTATAACCACTAGCAAAGTACATGGTTGACCTTGGCTCCCTTCTCGGCTTGGTCTTTAGCCATTGTCTTTACCGATTTTTGCAAGGCTTCTCAGCTAGCCTTTTCTTGGTCCAATAATTCCAATTGTCGGGCATTGTCTTGATTTCTTTTTCTCAGTTGTTCATTTTCATTTTCAAAGTTCCGAGACAACCCCTTTAGAGTCTGATTACTGGTTTCCAATTGGACACATCTATCTTTTAGAATTTGGATTTGCTCCTCCTTTTCCTCAATTTCAGAGGCTTGCTGAGCTTTTTCCTCAACTGTTTTTACAGCATGCCATAGTAGCCAGACCAAGCCACTGTGTTGCCTTTGAACTGAGGGTTTTCCACAAAGGCAAAATCTTTCAAATTGGGCTTCAATGTTCCCTATGGAAAAGCCTGAGGTGCACACATCCTCCCTACATGGGCTGGGTCCATCCTTCCGAATCTCCCTATGGAGAGGGGAATTTTCCTCCCTCCGTACCCACTTATCTTCTTGGCCTCCTGATCCAACCTTAGGGGTTTTTTTTTTCTAAAGAAAGACATTTTCCTCAACATGTCTCAAGCCTGTCAGTTTCCTTGAGCTCTCACGCTCCCAACCAACTCTGCCCCTGCCCTTGCAGTTCTACAAACAAATCCATTTCTTGGGATATGCCCACACCCTTAGGTGACAACTAAATCCATACCCTCCTTGGGTGTGCCCACCCCCTTGGGTGTGTCTAAATCCTAGTCCACCCCCTGGGGTTACTTCTAAATCCAGACCCTCCTTGAGTCTGCCCACCCCCTTGGGTAAGTCTAAATCCTAGTCCACCCCCTTGGGTGACTATTGTCCACCCACCTCCGTGGACGTGGGTCCTATCTGGGGACACGGTCTTCCCAAATACCAATTCACTAATAATCCTAGAATAGTGCCCGCATTCTCCACCAAATGATGTTGGCTACAAATGTCCAACTCGGGATCCTTAAAATTCTGGTTTATTAGGCGGATTGAAACACTGTAATGAAGTCAAATCATAAACCTTGGGGCTGGTCCACCCCCCCCCCCGCACACACACACACATACACATCCACACACACAATAGCGAGTTACAAGAGTCAGGTATACCTATCCCACAGGCGCTGGAGTCTGCCATGGATGGCCAGTCAAGGCTTCTTCCAGTGTGGTGTTATCCTCCAGACAGGTCAGTTGCTGGTCAAGTTGGAGATCAAGAGGGCACCCCTGAGGGACACTTTTCACTGCTTTTTATCTGTCCTTGGCAGACTTTGGTGACTCCCCAGTTTCCAGGTTTGCCTAATGCAGGGGTCATTGACCCTCGTGGGACTTCCCCCTTGGTGGCTACTGGATGGCATCTGTCAGCCCCAGGGGTCATCTGCATGTATTTGCAGGTTTGGGAGTCCATTGATGAATTTTGAATAGGGCTCTGGGAGCGGTCGATCTGGAGATATTCAGCCCCAAAAGTTGGCCCCCGGTGTTGAATAACTCAGACCAGGGCTCCTAGCCCTTGAACACTGAAATTTAGAGAATTTCTGGTTTGCCACATTGTCTCGTATTGATTTCTTCCGTTGGTTGATCTGTGGTTTCCCTAGTTGTTAAATGCTGCCTGCTACTGTGTTACGCATTCAATCACTGATTTACTCCCTCTTTCAGGGTCCTGCCTGATACAGGGAAGTGGCAGTTTAATTCCTGCCCTTGTTAACATTGTTACAATGTATAACTACCTTCTGAAACTAAACATATTTAGTTAAAAGGTGAGGAGTATAAAATATAAGCTACAAGAGTAATGCCATGGCACACAAATAGATAAAAAGACCAAAATAGAGGGGGAGTTACAAAATGCACACATACAAATTTTAAAACACAATTCCTTATCTTATAGTGAAAGAAAGAGGAAGGATGAAAAGGTAGAAGAGGAGAAACATATCCAAAGAGGGGAAAGCAAATTCAGGCAAGAGGAAAAGGGAACATTCTGCTACACAAATACCACTGGCACAGACATTTTCAAATCAACCCTTTTCACTTTCCTTCCCTGCTTCTTAGTGGAGACATATTTCAGAGGACATGAATTTCATATGTTGCCATTTCTGGTATGCTTTTTTAGTGCAATGCAGCAAGAACCTATTAAAGTAATAGTTATTATTTGGAGATGCTCCCTAATTTAGTTGATTTGGTAACTGGGAGATCGTCTCTTAGTTAAATAGCTAGTCAGTCAGTCAGAGATAGATATAGAGTCTATAGGGGCTGCTTATTGTTCAAGACTAAAACTTGTTGTGTAATTCTCATTCACACCTGCCCATGTGTATTGAATCTGATGAGTACAAGATTTATGCCATACCTCTCTATTCTGGGCCATAGTAGCTGAATGGAGGTGAACATGCCCTCTAGCAGCTTGGTGGTCATGTTTACTATTTGCTTCTAGAATTTCTGGCAGTAGATATAGCAGAGTGAATAATGTTTTTAGATACTAAGATGCCTTCAATCAGCTTAGTGCCATCTGAATGCCTGACAGCAGTAGGCAAAGCTGTAGGGTTTTCTGTCTGTCTTCCTTAGGCTATGTTGCTACAGTGGTGCGGGGAGAGGAGGCTGCTAATATTTTAATGATGGCATCATTACAAACCTGCCTAGGCCATCTGATGGCCGGGGTTTTCCTTTTGCTGGAGCTACACCCTCATCCCTGACAACAAAAGCTCTGCAAGGAGAAAGCAGAAGCTGTATCCATACCAGGGGTTTTGCAGCAAAGCTACATCAGCTATAGGGCCTTATTTTTTCATACCCTTTGCCAAGAGACCTCTGCTGGCTGACATGAACAAAAGGTCAGTGTTGTTCCTTGGCTTCAAGGAGTACACTTATCAAAGGTCCTAGCCAGCAACTCTCTCTGACAGGGCTCTAACCCTGAGTATTAAAACTCTAATGAAAGATTTTCCTGAAATCCTTGTAACAGCAGTTGTTCATCTTATCACTTTAGTTCTCTGAATGTTTGATAGCTTATGGTATTTCATGCATGCATTCTTTATTTTATGTAATGGACAACAGAGAGTGGTGTTCAATGCATTTTCCATCTCCCCTAAGGGCAGGTCACTCTGAATCACTCATACTGTTGAACGGAGATTGCCGGTGTGATGAGCGAGTTGAGGTTTCCTTTGGTGGCACATGGAGCAGAGTCCTGGATGATCAGTGGGACATGAATGATGCCAGCGTGGTGTGCAGGCAGCTCCATTGTGGAGCTGCTTAGAAAGCCTATCACCCTGCAAAGTCTGACGGTGATGTAGCATCACATGTAACTATGCCCACAGTCAAGCAGTGGAGATGTTATAGATTCTACTTCATTTTTCATGTATAAATTCTACTTTATTTTGCATGAAACACAGTAATTAATCCACTCATGGTAGTATTTGTTTTTGTAGGGGGAAAAGGGAAAAGACCACAAAACCCATTTGCTTCATGCCTAGGTTCTACAAACTGCACAGGTATGAATGCTTTTCTATATATCTTCTCAATCCCTAAGGACCTTCCCAGCTCTGCCAGTAATATGTAAAGTTTCTGCCTTTCCCAGACAAGGAGAAGATCTGTGTTGTGGGAGGAGAGGATGGCTGTTCAGGGAGAGTGGAGATTTGGCACCGTGGCTCCTGGGGAACAGTGTGTGATGACTCCTGGGACATGGTGGATGCGAACGTTGTGTGTAAACAACTGGGCTGTGGAGCTGCTGTGTCTGTCTTGAGTGGAGCATTATTCGGGGAAGGGGATGGCCCCATCTGGCTAGACAAGGTGAACTGTCGAGGGACAGAGTCATCTCTGTGGTAGTGTCCTGCAAAGCACTGGGAGGACAGTAACTGCCAACGTAAAGAAGATGCTGCTGTGAATTGCTCTGGTGAATACAAGCCTCCTTGGACAGGTTTGGCAGGATTCAATAAGGAAAGCTTCCTGCAGAGATGGTATGTGAGGCTAGAAAGAGATGTTGTCAGTGGAGCATGATTGGCTGTGCTGTGATTGGTTGTGGCACAGCTGCATGTGCACCTAACTTGGAGTGTGTCTGAGTGAGGGGAAGCCAGCTTTCCTAACTGCGTTATCTAATGATTGGCCTAATAGTATATATGTATTTGCATATAAGATGAATAATGGTGGAAAATTTTGAATCTGTTGTCCTTGTACACATCCCACTGTCTGGCAGCCTTATCACCTGGCCATAATGAATAAAGTTAATCTAGTTATTTGCACTGTGGATCTGTGTTCAAACCATTATGAAGTAAGAGCTGGCAACCCCTCAGTAGCAGCAACAGTGACTGACAGGTTTTTGATAAAGTATGCAACTTTCTGTGGTGCGGTGCTGGATCCTCTGCCTGGCCATGTATCAGCCCCCTGTTCCTTGGCCATAGGAATGGATGGTGAGGGGTGTAACTTTGGAGGGCCCAGATGTGCCCAGGTGTCAGCCTATGGAGCCTCTGCTCTCATCTGAGTCTCCGGTGTTCTAGTTTATTACTATTGTCCCCACTGCTCCTAAAGCACAGGGGGACTTCTTTTTAAGTTGGCCCAGAACTGTCCCTGCCCCATTTGAAGGGAGAACATATATGTGATGTGCCAGTTCCACCTGCAGCCACACAGGGGGACCATCCCTTCAGTAGATAATGCTTTACCTCTTCCTGCTTTCAGAATCCAATCCTTATTTTATTTCTCGTTGCAGATGCTACAGGAATGACAACTTCCCCAAAGGGAACAGGTAAAGAACCCCCTTCCAAGAAGTGCTGCATTTTCCTGAGAGATGAGCTGTAACCTCTGCTCTGGGAGAAGGTGCTTCTTGACAGAGAGTCTGAAATTTATGAGGCAATGGCACCTGGGGTGGGTCCTGCAGGGCAGGCTGACTGATAGGCATTGCTGCTCAGTGGTTTTCTGCTCATGTGCCTGGGCTCCTGACTCTTGCTCTAGCATGTGAGTTGCTCTCCTGTTTCTCAGTATTTGACCTTTTGGCCACATACAATACAATTAGTAACTGTGGATGTTCCCTTGAGATTCATTTGTCTTTCAGAGAAGAGTCTCTACTGCTCCTATGTTTGTTTCCTTTCAGATCCACCTCCAACAGACAGTGGGGGAGACATGGTGCCCATTGTCATCTGCATTATTCTGGGGGTCCTTCTCTGCTTGGTCCTTATCGTTGTGGCTGGGCAGGTGCAAAAAGGCAGAGCACAGCAGAAAGGTGTGTCCCAGTGGGTCTAAATGATACAGAAATACCTCTTTGAAGATGCAGGGAGAGTTTTAGGGTATCAGAAGGAAGAGGGAGATAGCAGAAAAGAACCTAGACTGGGGTGCTCAACCCCTAGGCTGTGGGCCAGATCCTTCCTGCAACACCTTGCAATTCAATACATGGAGTCCCAAAGGATCCTTTGGGAATACTTGCCAACTGTGGCCCTGAGTGCTAGCCTGAACATGCAGGGCAGCACGGGGCCTGATTCCAGTGCATGGGGCCTAGGTGTGGGGAGCATAGAGCTCCAGATCCTGATTTTAGATGGACAGTGTGTCAGAGCCCTGCACCATCTACATCCTGCCAGGTTTGAGCTCCAGTGCTTCTCCCAGTGCCCCTGCCTGGCTATGATGAGGCTTTAGCTGGGTGGAGGGAGTACATTGCTCCAGGGCCAGAAATTGGTATACAGGGCTGGCACAGGTCCTGATCCAGCCTGCAAACTGTTCTCGCACCATTCATCTTGCCAATGGGGATAAAAATGTGAGCACCAATGACCTAGAACAATTGGAAATAATGTGGGAATGTGTGAGAATATAGGTGAGTGAACAACAGCTCTGAGCATTATCCTGGCGCATTATCCTCACTAGTTGCACCTGTAGGATTCAGTCCTGCAGACAAATACATTTGTAGGTTCGAGAACTTTGGAAAGCAGAGAAATAAGTGTTGTTATTCCTGGAATGTAAACTTCATGTTGAGAGAGGAATTATTGAAGCTACTGCATAGGCATTAATGTGCAGTAATGAAATGAAAAGAAACCAGCCATTTTAAGAGGAGAGATTTTGTGATGGTGCAACAGCTAAAGGAAACATCTCCAAAGAAGTTTTGAAAGGGGACACATTTGTTGTCTGGACTGGGATATTTTCTGGGCTAAAAAAAGAACTTCTGACAGTCCCTTAAGGACCTGTGGCAGAAAGGTTTAATACTATTTCCCACCTTGTGTACTACTAACCACATACTCTTTGTTTTCAGCATCCAGAAAATTTATGAAGCCCTTCTCTGAGGCTGTGTATGAAGAGATTGACTACAGCCCAATGAAGGAGAAGGGACAATCATCAGTTAAGTCAGGTTTGTGCATTGCATTCCTAACAGAGTCACTATCTAATTCACTTCTCATCCTGAGATCATGAACTAGTCCTAATTTCCTGTAGTTTTCAACCCCTAGAGGGCTGAATGCTGCAAGCACGAGTTCTGTGATGAGACCAGCCAGTAACTGGACTTCTGCCAATGAGCGCCCCACCCTACTTATGAATCAGACTTTGCTAGTCCCATCTCTAGGGACAATTTCTGCAACATTGCCCATATTGAAATTTGGAGTATAACTAAATATGGGCCAGGAAAGCATCTATTTTTAGGGTCAAATAATTTGAAAATGGCTTTGGAACGTTTGAATAAGAACTATTCTCCAGCTTCTTCCCTTTGCTGCAGTGGTCAGTCATCTGCTGTGTGGGTTCACTTTCCTTTGTTGTTTCTTCCATCCTCCTCCTTTCTCCCACAGAGTGTGGCACTGATTTAGTTGTATGGCAGAGGGCAGTGACAAAAGGGTTTAAACAGACATCACCAAGTGAAGTGGACCAGTAGTGGCAGTATGTCTCGCTACACCTGATCTGCTGCAATGGGTAAAACACATGTTGCACAACATCGTGAATTGATCAGGGCCTGATCTTGTGGGACAACAGGTGATGTGTTCCCCACTTACAAAGATGTGTCCTAGAGATTCCCCATGGCACATCCATGTAAAGGGGGAAGCCGAGGTTCCCTATTTACAAATAAATGCATCAGAGACTGCCCAGCATGAGTTCCTGTAAGAGGGTAAAGCTGGGCATATACTTCTGGGGCTTAAGGGACCTGATACTGAAAAGTAATTCGCAGGCCTTGCAGAATCGGTCCTCTAAAGTCTCAGGAGTGCTAGCCTGGGGCAGCTGAAGAGCATGGGTAGTTCTGGGTTGTCTGTGCTCTTGTGCATAAAATGATCAGATGTCTGCTGCAATAAAAAGGCAAAAATTATTAACATCTTCATTGGAGCCACAAAGTTTGGGCATTGGTGGTGTGACAAAGAGTATGAATTCCTGTTTGCCTGGCTTTTGTGTCTCCATTAGAATTTTCTACCGTAAGAAACAGAAAACTCATGCCGTGCTCTATGTCAGAAGAGAGGCATGTTGTCCAAGCAGTAAGTATTTGGCAGTTTGGATGCTTTGCAGTTTCCACAAATCTGGATTGTTCTGGGGTAATTTGATTTTCTGTTGGGAACCCTGCAATGAAACTACAGCTCTCTGGCTCTTTTTAGGTTGTTTTGGAGAAAGAGCTCCTAGGGATTTCAGACTCCTGGCTTGCAGAGCCCTGGGACTCTTGAGGTGGCTGACTGCCCAGGCTGCCAAACTCCTGCAGGGGTCAGATCTGCAGAGAGTTGGGACACCTGGGAAATCACATGTCTTGGATGTCAGGGATCCTAGGAAAACAGGAAGCTAGTTCCCTGGCTCCCCAGGCTGCCTACCTTGCAGACAGGCAGAAAATCTATCTTTATGTTTGACAAACTCCCCTACCTTTCCATATTTTATTTTTGCATTACATTGTATTTGTTATTTTATTGCCTAGAGTCAACTGACTTATAATATGTGCTACTGCCATTAGTACCAGATGAAAGGGTTTATTTCCTCATTCAAACTTTTTCCTGTTTACTGTTGTAATTAAACCTACTGTTGAAAAGAAAACAGAATTTTACACTTATTTGTCCTGGGATGTCAACTTCAGGTTAGGAGCAGTACTACTGCAGCTGCTAACTATGAACTAGTTAAAATGTAACAGCTATTTTCTTAGTCAAACTTTCCAAGAGGTTGTTACATACAGCTGCTACTCTGATTAGTACAGAATGAAAAAGCAAGTAGTTTTCATGATTTAAAAAATAAAGAATAAAATTAAAGCACTGAAACAATTAACGTAAAAAGCCTGAAATAGATTACAGTAATTTATCCAGTGCTAGAATTGGAAGATTCTGGGTGTGTCTACACATTGCCATTCTTTTTGGAAGGTCTAAAGCATGGCGCAGTAATTGTCCATACTGCGCCATGTGAGTGGCGTGCACTTTGATTTTCTCACTATGTTGTTGTAGCGGTGTGCTGTAAGTGGAGAGCATGCTGCTATGGTGACATAGCTAATGATCACGTGTAGACCCACGTGATCGCTACATCATTGTACCAGGCCAAACGGTAACTGCGTTGCCATAGGTTGACGTGTAGATGCTCCCTCTGCCTATCAATCCTAGTCCTCCCTTGCCTCCCAGCTCACTGAGATGGGTTTCTGTTTTCAGCTCTTTGCAGCATCTAGCAGACAGGTGATCTCTTCAAATGTGTTTCATAACTATACGAGATTGTACTGATACTGAGATTGATAGGAAGGGATTTTCACTTCTTACCTGCCTGAAAATGTGTGCACCTAAATCTTTTGTCCCAGGTGCATACTTATATCTGTCTTCAGTGTAAGGTCTTCATTCTTATTAATTACCATATCTATTTCAGATGTTCCTGTCATGTGTGGAGATTCCACAGGAAATGACTATGATGATGCCAGAGAAGTTCATGACCCTGAAGAAGTTCATGGATCTAGACAGAATAAAGAGGAAGCCTCTGGGATCTCTGATAAAAGTGAGAGAAACCAGGATTTGCAGAAAAGTGGGAAGCAAATACAGTTTACCATGTTTCACAATTTTATTGCTAATTTCATGATACCTGTTATAATTTTATGAGCCCTAGCTTGTGTGAGCTTGTAAGTATCTTCCATCCTGTTGTGATCTCTTTCAGCTTACCACCTCACAGGATAAATCTGTAATATGGATATGGAAGGAAACAGAAACTAAAATAAAAAAAAATAATAAAATAAATATACTGAAAACATTTAACTTAAAAAAAGCCTCAAAAATATTACATTAATTAATGGATGGAAAGACCAATTAAAGATATGGAAGGCTGCAGAAACTGGGACAGGATACAAAAAGTTTTAAAAATCAAAATACAGTTCAATAATATTGATATCTTTCTATGAAAAGATAATGCGTTTCTGTAATAAGGCTAATGTTATGAACTTAGTTTATCTAGGTTTAAGCAGAGAATTTTCTATCAGGCTTCCCAGGCTGAATTAATGTATTTGATGGAGAGAGCATATCAGGGATCTTTATGGGCATCTCAGCCTTTTGTCCCTGACCTTTACGTAATTTCTCTTTTCAGTGTCAGGCCTGTCCTCATCACTACTAATTCTCATCTGTATTTCAGAAGCCTCTATACTGCCCAGAGACACCACCAGTGATGGTTATGATGATGCTGGAGAAATTTCTGATCCAGAACACAGTTCTTCTTTTCACCAGAATGATGAGGAAGTCAGTGAAGCCCCAGAGGGAAGTGATGGGACAAGGGATTCACAGACAGGTGAGTGAAGTTGCCATATCTTGCTGTTTAATCTCTGGTCCTACAGTGTTTAGTATTTTTCAAAAAGCCCCTGTCATGTCTGGAATTTCCATAAGACATGGCTATGGTGATGTCAAAGAAGTTTATCACCCTGAAGAAGTTCTTGCGCCTAGGCAGGATAAAGAGAAAGCCATTGGAATCCCCTAGGAAAGTGGAGTCACATCATTACATAAAAGGCTGGTGCAGCAGGAAATCCACCCGTCTCCTGAGAGGGGGCAGCAGCAGTACAGGTGGTCACTAGCAGCAGCAGTGGTAGCAGCCGTCCAGGTCAGCCACTCAAGGCATGGTTCAGGTAAAGGTGAAAGTGAAGGTGAAGGCAGGGGGTGGCCTGCAGAGGCAGCTGGGGCAGGGAAGTATCCCTTAGGTGCTGGCAGTGATGGTGGGGGAGGAGCCCACGGGCAGCACAGGAGGGTGGCAACAGCAGCAGAAGCAGCCCAAGGCAGGAAGGGGCACAGCTAACTTCCCCCCAAAAGCTCCTGAGAGCAAGCAACAGCAGAAGCAGCTAACAGCAGCAGCAGCAGGAGACTCAGGCAGGAAGGGGCCCGGCCATCTTCTCCCAAGAAGCGCCTGTCTATTTGTATCTTCCAGTGGACATGGGCCTTAAGGCCCACCCAGTTACCTAATAGCCCCCATGATGCGGGGCCAAAGGTTGAAAGATGCAACTAATATTTTTTTTTGCTGGTGGTGGTGGTGGGGGGGAACTAAGGGAAAGAAAAAAAACAGGTTAGGAGTGACATGGGGATCAAAATGTGAAAATAAGCACTTTGGAGGGGGACACTGAGCAGAGCCCCCTTGGCCACACCCACTGGTCCTCAAAGACATCTAAGGAGCTGGTGGATGCCGCCCATTTGTGCTCTGCCCAGAAACATGAACAGAGGAGGGAAAGGAATGCGGTCTCACAGTCCCTGGGCACCTTCCTGGCCAGAGCCTCCTTCTTGGTCAAGTAGAGGGCCCACTTGGCCAGGGCCAGGAGAAGGTTGACTAGGAGGTCCTGGGACTTGATGGGGCCACAGATGGGGTGACCAAAAATAAAATGGTGTGGGTGAAATGCCCCCAGAATCTCAGGAAAAGGTTCTGGAGGTGGAGGTGGAGGGGCAGCAGCCTGGCACACTCGAACATCATGTGTGCCAGGGTCTCCCTCTGCCCACAGAAGGGGCAAGAGACCAGGGTGCCTGTGAAGCTCATCACATATATGGTGTCTGGGCAGGACGCAAGGGTGGCATGATGGATCGTGTGCTGCATGACAGTGTAGAAGTGGTGGTGGTGATGGATGGTTGAAAAGTGGACCGGTTTGGTTTCCTCCACCCATCTTAGGTGGTGGAGCAGGGAGTGCCACAAGCCTGGGTGAGGCACGGGCCCCATGACAAACTCTGGTGGGCTGGAGAACATGGGGGGCGGTAGGTTGTGGGAAGTGGACCGCCACCAGGCAGGACCTGGTCAACAAGGGCAAGGGCATCAGGAGGTAGGGCAGATTTCACTTCCTGGACCAGGTGGCAGGTTGCACGTGTTGTGTGTAGACCCATGTGACAGACCAGTGCAGTGGGGTCCATCCACTCCTGCCAATTCTAGTCCAGAAGGTCTCTGGTACAGGTGACACCAGCTAGAATGAACCTCTGTCATAACTGGGGCGCCTCTGCTTTTGGCACCTCCAGCTGGGGGTTCCAGAGGAGGGGCTTGATGAATAGGATGGCAAACCTTGCAGATCCTGCAGGAAAAGCCCCACAGGCTGAGGAGCTTCCAGTCATATCGGAGCCCCCGGAAGTGGTGGAGGAAGGCGCAGCCTAGGTGGCCCCATGCCGCCTGTCTACTGTCACTGTACAGGCAGTCCTTGGATTTAGGACAAAATTGGTTCCTGAAAACTGCATCTTAAGTCGAAAAGTTGGAACTCAGAACCAATTTTCTCATAAAAAACAATGTTATAAATTGGGAATTTGTTCCTGAACTAAGGTCTGATACCCCATTTTCACCAAAAATACCCCACAATTTTGTACTCAATCAATTATAGATGAGTAATATAGCTACATTAATGTATTTAAACTGTAAATAGTAATCATATTGATTTGGAATGACTTCTTTGAGGTGACTTTGCTGGACTTTTTCAAAGGCTGTTGGTTAGTCTTTTTGAAGGGTTCTTGGCTGGAGTCTTTTCAGGAGTCTAGGCTGCAAGTTTTTCTGGAGTCTTGTCTGCTTTCTTAAAGAAAGTGTCCAAGCAAATTGGGACAGATGTTCTCCAGGGAGATGAGTGACACAGCAAACTTGTTCGCTGGCATGCCATGCATTGTATCAAGTGTTGTAAGTCAAAACTGACATCATAAAGTTGAAACAGGCTCTCAATTTATAAACGTAAGTGCAAAATGTTTTAACTTGAAATGTAGGTCGAGGATTTCCTGTATAGCAGTTGCTGCTGGGCCTGAAGGCGGAACATCAGGACCTGGCTGTGCAGGCAAACAAGTCCCTGGCCACCATCCCAGAAAGGGAGGATCAGGACCCCCGCGGTGAACCAGTGCTGTCCTGGCCAGAAAAAAAACTCGAGTGCCTATCTCTGGAGCCCTGCTGTGATCTCAAGGGACACAGGCAGGGTGTGTAAGTGGTGCCAGAGCATGGACAGGACCAACTGGTTCAGCACCAGCACTCTCCCATGCAGGGAGAGACACCTCAGGATCCCTGACCATGCCTGGAGCCACTCCACCACCCTTTCCTCCACTTGGTTCCAGTTCTCCAGTAGGAAAGAGTCTGTGGGGGACAGTTAGACCCCCAAGTAGAGCAGTGAGGTCACGCTCCAGTGGATCCTGTGGAGTGTGGGTAGGAGTGAGCCCACCTGCCACCTATCACCCTCTGTCATCCAAATCTCTAGACCCAGTTGACCCAGGCAGAGGAAGCTGCCTAGTAAAATGCCTTGCAGGTGTTCACATGCACCAGGTTACCTGAGTCCTGGACTGTGTGGAGTATGTTATCAGCATACACTGACAGAACCTGCTTCACCGCCAGCTCCTGGGGCATCAACCTTGCCACCTGCCTCTGCAGGAAGATGAGGAAGGGCTTCAGGGCCAAGGTGTACAGCTGGCCCAACATTGGGCAGCCTTGATGCACCACTCTTCTTTATGGGATGGGCTCAATCAGGGTCCAGGTGAGCTTGACCAAACACTATGCAGAGGCATACAGCACCTGGTGAGCCCATGTGAAGTGGGGCCCAAAGCCAAAGGACTGCAATGTGCCTCTGAGATACGTGTGATCCACTCTATCAAATGCCTTCTCCTGGTCCATGGATAGGAGGGCGAAAGACAGGTCCTCCTAGCGTGCTACCTGTAGGAGATCCTGAACCAGGTACAGGTTGTTGAAGATGGAACATCCAGGCACCATGTACATCTGGTTAGGATAGATCATGTCTGTCAGCGTGGACTGCAGGCACAGTGAGATGGCCTTAGCTACCACCTTGTAGTCCATGCAAAGGAGGGACACAGGGCACCAGTTCCTCAGGTTGTGGGGATCTCCCTTCTTTTGCAAGAGGGTCAGCACGGCCCTCTGCTGTTATAGGAGCTCCCTACTTCCCTTGGATTTGGCCCAGACCACAGGAAAGTCCAGTCCAAGGACATCCCTGACGGCCCAGTAGAACTCTGCGGTCAGCCCGTTGATGCCTGGCACCTTGTTTCCAGCCATCAGGCAGAAGGCAGCCATAAACTTGGCCAGGGTGAGAGGAGCCTCCAACCAGTCTCATTCACCTGTGCTGACCTGCAGGAGTCCCTCCCACAGGGTCTGACAGGCTTTGGCGATGGTCAGATGGAAGGAGAAGAGTTCTTCATAGAAGGCTTGCACGCACCACTGAATCTCACCTGTATCTGTGAGAGGGTGCCATCAGCCACCAGAAGGCAGGTGATGTACTTCTTGGCTCTCTGCCTCCTCTCCAGGGCATAGAAGAAGCAGGAGTCCATCTGCCGAAAAAGCTGGACATGCAGTCAGAAAAATGCACGATGGGCACGGTGGTTGTCCAGTGTACGAAGCTTTTCCTGCCTCTCCAGACACTCTCCGCAAAGGGACAGGTTGGTTGAGTTGGTGGCCAGGCACCTCCCCAGCTCTAGAACTTCCCAGTTGAGCTGCTTCTGGACCTCTTCCCTCTGCCGGGTCTGCCCCTGAGTGTAGCTGCAGCAAGAAACCCGGGTGCACACCTTCCCCATGTTTTACCTTCTCTGAGCTGAGGGGAAAGCTGCTGGTTGCTCGTGGGTTCTGTGGCTGTCACCTGGGGCTCAGCACCGCTGAGCCTGAATGGCCCAGAGCTGTGAGACAGTGCACGGTGCCCTGCTGAGCCAGGTCAAATCTGTGGGATGCAGCAGCATGGTTGCCAAGTGGCTGAGGAGGGACATGGAGTGTCTGTTCTTCAGGTCGTGGGGATCATGCAGGAGAGTCAGCATGGCTCTCTGGAATTACAGGAGCTCTCCACTTCCCTCAGATTTGGCCCAGACCACAGCAAAGTCCAGGGCAAGGAGATCCTAGAAGGCCCAGTAGAACTCTGTGGTCAGCCAAATGATGCCTGGCTCCTTGTTTCGAGCCATCAGGCGGAGGGCAGCCAAAAACTTGGCCAGGGTGAGAGAAGCCTCCAGCCAGTCTTATTCACCTGTGCTAACCTGCAGGAGTCCCTCCCACCGGGTCTGACAGACGTTGGCATTGGTCAGATCCTGGGAGAAGAGTTCTTCATTGAAGGCTTGCACACACCAATGCATCTCACCTGGAAATGTGAGGGGGGTGCCATCAACCACCAGAAGGCAGGTGATGTACTTCTTGGCTCCCTGCCTCCTCTCCAGGTCATAGAAGAGCTGGACACGTGAGCAGACAAACACACGATTGGAATGGTGGTTGTCCAGAGTACAAAGCTCATCCCACCTCTCCCGATGCTCTCCACAAAGGGACGAGTTGGTTGGGTTAGTGGCCTGGCACCTCTCCAGCTCCAGCACTTCACACTTGAGCTGCTCCTGGACCGCCTCCCTCTGCTGGGTCTTCCCTCAAGTGTAGCTGAGGCAAAAAAGCCAGATGCACACCTTCCCCTTGTTGTACCTTCTCTCAGCTGGGAGGAAAGCTGCCTGTTGCTCCCAAAAGGCCAGCCAGAACTTCCAGAAGGCCTCCTGTAGCATGGCCTGGTCCCAGACAAGGTGATGATCACTGAAAGGTGTCAGCCAGATGCCAGAGGAGTGGGGCTGGGCAAAGTGCGGCAAAGAGATATAAATCCAGTCTAACCAGGAGTGGCATGCCTGCTACTCCCCCACCCTCACATAATTGAAGGCAGGTTGGGGTCAGTAGGGTGACAAGCATGCCAGACATCCACCAGGGAGTAGTCTGTTAGGATCTCTGCAAGGATGCCCACGGCGGCCTGGTTCTGCTCCCTGCCTGACCGGTCTCACGTGTTTAGAGTAACGTTAAAGTCCTCACCAAGGACCAGGCACTCATAAGGGTTGAGGGTGCCGATGTAAGTGGCCACCTGGCAGAAAATATCTGCCAGCTCTGGGTCTTTTGCAGGGGTGTACACATTCAGAAGGTTCAAGAGGAGCCCCTGCACTTGGACCCGGAAGTGCAGCTGGCATCTCGGCACCACCTCAATGTCCTGGAGAACCTCCTGCTGCAGGCCTGTGGAGAACAGAGTGCCCACCCTGCAAGAGGTGGCCGAGAGGTGACTAAAAAAGCCCCTGCCTCTCCACTCCCATTGCCAGTTATGGGCCAGAGTCATCAGGGTCTCCTGCAAGAATACCACAGGGTACTCCGCCTCCTGAAGGAAGGAGAGCACCCAGCATCTCTGGAGATCCTTCCTGCAGCCATGGACATTGAGGGTCATGATCTTAAATGAGCTCACGGCTCAGGTAGGGGGTAGAGTGGATGGTTTAGCATGGGCTTCATGCATCTCAGTGTCTGGTGTGGGGTTTGCCAGCTCACACGGCGCCCTCCCATAAGTATAGAGGACATCTAGGAAATTGCGGGCTCGCCTATAGATCTTGGTGTTGCAGCTTTTGAGCACCTTGCCTTCCCTTGCTACCGCTCTTGCAGTGGCAAGGATGCAGTGAAAATCTCCCCAGAAGTCCAAGGTGAGCTGTACCTTGCTGTTGGACCACTGGGTGTACTCGCAGTCAAGAAATGCAAGTAGCTCACCCCTGCCAGTTCTCAGGCATCCTCCTCCTGGTCCTGGGGCTCAGACCCCAGACTCTGGTTGGGAGTAGGAGAGCTATGCAGCTCCCTGGTCCACCACGTGAGCCAGATAGAGGACACCAGACCGGGCCACTTTTCCACCGGTCATATTGCCTCTACCTCTAGATGCTTGTGTGTTGCGCCATCCATCATGCTGCCCTCACGTTCCACCCAGACATCGAGTGGTGGGACCTGCTCAGTGAGGGCATGGCTGGGGCAACCCAGTGGCTGAGTCTGTACTCCACTCTCATCCCACAAGCCACTGGGGACCTCAGCTGGTGACTCCTCCATGGAGCCATTGCCACAGGTGTGTATGTGGCAAGCTTCACAGACACCCTGGTCTCTTGTCCTTTTTGCGGGCAGAGAAAGACACTGATACACACAGCCCTTGAGTGTGTCAGGCTGCAGCCCCTCCACCTCCACTTCCAAAGCCTTCTCCTAAGGTTCTGGCTCAATTTCAACCCCCACCTTTTTATTTTTGGTCACCCCATCCATGGCCCCACCAAATTCCAGGACCTTCTCATTAATCTCTTCCTGGCCCTGGCCAAGTGGGCTCTGTACTTGAACAGGAAGGAGGCTCTGGCCAAGAAGGTACCCGGAGATTGTGGGGCTGCTTTTCTCTCACTTGTCTGGGCATATTTCCCAGCATAGCACAAGTGGGCGGCATCCACTGTCTCCTTAGATGCCTTTGAGGACCAGTGGGTGCAGCACAGGGGACTCTGCTTGATGTCCCCCTTCGGAGAACTTCTTTTTACATTTTAAACCTTTGACCCCCCACATGGACTGGATGCAGCCTGGCTCTGCAGGGTGCCACAAACTGCCTGGCAGCTCATGGGTGCTGCGGCTGTCACCTGGGGCTCAGATCCACTCAGCCCGAGCAGCCCAGACTGTGAAACAGTGCACAGTGCCCTGCCGAGTTGGGTCACACCTGCAGGATACAGCAGCATGGTTGACAGGTGGCTGGGGCTGAGGCCTGCTGTCCCCATGCAGGGGGACTGTGCAATGAGGCCCTGAGTGGCCCCAGCCACTACTGCTACTGCTGGTGAGTACCGAGGGCTCGGTCTGGGTGAGAGAGTGAGCAGGGATTGGGGGGAACGAATGGGAGGTGGGGGGAATGAACAGGGGTGGGAGAAACCAGCGGGGAGTTGGGAGAACCAACAGGGAGTTGGGGGAATAAATGGAGGGCAGGGGGAAGGAAGGGGGAGTTGGGGAAATGCTCTGGCTGGCTAACCTCTGGTTGCCTCAGGCCATGGTCCGGGACTGTGCCCTGACCCGCTTTTTTCCCACCATGTTTTTTCAAAGTTAGCCCTTCTGGAGTCCAAAACTATTAGTGTGGATGTATTATTGTCCATCCTAATATTAAAAATAAACTGAATAAATTAGTTCAGTTTTTTTGTGTGAGATTGGTACAGATTGTGGGAGGTATTTGGCACACTCTTGGTATTTGGATCAGTTTAATCTTTCTCTTTTAGTTACTTCCATCTTCTAACTGTATCTTCAGTCTTGCTTGATTCTTCCTTCTCCTATTCCTGTACCAGTGGCAGAGTCCTGCCATTCTTTAATTTGTCAAGCTTCCCTCTTCATTTATTAAGACACTAAACTGATTCCTTAGTTCCTTTCCACCTCCATTTTCTGGCTACTTTTTTGGTTCTTCTTACAGCTTCATGCTACCATGGGTTGCTCTCCTCTTCTGAAGTTATGTCAATTAGAAAGTCATTTTTGATAGGTTTCTAGATCTACTGCTTTATATATGCTGCTTCAGCTTTTATGCTTAAAGGTCTTTATCTGCTTATTAACCCTTGACGTGTGACTGCTCACAGCATGTTCTAATGTTGACACTGCTTACCATTCCACAGATTTTGTATGGTCAAAGTGTAATGTGTGTGAGGCCGGGGTAGGGGAGATCAACTAATTCTTCCCCTCAGGGACTCTTCTGCCACACCTTTGTTGTTGGAAGAAAAAAAATGAGATGTTAATCCCTGAGATATGACACAATCAATCACCCTGCTATTAAAGAAAACAAAAATTGGTTGTATTAATTTTTCTCATCCTAATCACAGTTCATGGACATTTTTTCCCCCAATCTGCAGCTTCAATTCCCTCTCTCTCACTTGGTTGCAAAAAAAAGGGAGGTTATGTTGTAACCTCTCCCTTTTCTGTTCCTCTCTTTGCAGGTCCCCACTTCCTACCTCAGCCCTACAAGGAGTTTCCCTCGCTGGAACAACCAGGTAAGTGCTCATGGTTTTAGAATCCTTTCTCTCACCGATCTCTCACCGCAGTTTTCTTTACCCGGTGAGTTAAACTCCGTAGTGTTGGCTCTCAATTCAGATCCGTCTCTGATCATGCTGGCCACGCTCTCTTGCATTCTTTGTGTTCCCCCAGGGGCAATCTGCTGCTCGCAGTGTCCCCTCTTTTGTAGACCCTGAACCCTCATCTGCCATTTCTTTCAACCGGTGTGTGAAGAGGCACAGCTGTGCCTTGTGTCCCAGTCACTGCCCTTTCTATGAACCGGCTCCCCAACTTCTTGGGAGAGGAACCAAGGAACAGAGTGGACTATCACCCCTTTTCAGTGTAATCTCACCCTTAAATAAAAACATATACTAGCACACAGCACTGCAGCAGAAAGTGCTTGAGCCACAATGCCCAGGTTAAATCAGAGACATGGGCAGATCCAGAGGGGACGCAATGGTTTGGACACTCCCCCCTTCCATGACTCCCACTAGTATTCCGGGTTGATCCAGGTGCAGGAGGAGCCCCAAGGCTGCTCCGGCTCTGCTCTAGCAGTGAGCTGTGTCTGTTGCTCAGAGGACCGCAGTCCCCTGTCCCATGCTCAGGGGATGGCAGTGGCAATGGGCAGGCTCCACCCTCCAGCGCCTTCTCCTTGGCACCCTGCCTCTCCACTTGTCCCATGCTGGCTGGTCAGGGGAATGGAGAGATGCAACCTCAGTATAAGATTAACACATTTAACTCAGAAGTTTTACAAACAGTATCATAATCTGCAACAACGCTATGCTAGACTTGTTTCCAGGCCTCTGGAGCCTTGGCTGTCATGCATGACTTTGCACGCACTGTTGCCAATGGCTCTGGGACTCTACAGCCAGGTCCTTCAGCACCCAGAGGTGAATTTCATCAGGGCTGTTGATTAAGATTTATTCACATTTATCAAAAGCTCTCTGATATGCTCTAAACACTAGGCTGTGGGCTTGGCCATATGAAACAGCTTATCTATCTCAGAGTTAATGTTTAAGCTATACCCTTTTCTATGGGGTATACTCATTCTACTTTTTTAAGTGGTCTTATATCCACAAAAATATTTGGCTTCTTAATCTTTGATGTGCCATGTAGACAGCCAGGTCAGAATAGCATCCCAAATTTATCCAGAGGTTCCTTAGGCTCAGTTTCTGGGGGGGAAAAAAATCATTCCTTAAGACTGACTTTTTTTTTCAGTTTCATTTAGGAATTCAAACCTTGGCCTTTTTTGTGCCCCAAAATGTGACAATCAAACAACTCTAACCACAGCTTATGGCCCCTGCCCCTCTGGGGAAGAAATAATGAACACAGTGAGAGAGAAGCTCTACAGATGGATATGAACTTAATGCTAAGGATCCAGGGATCTCTGCACTTCTGGACATGTCTGGGTCTCTCTATGGGGAGAGGGGCTGTTTTGTAATAGAGAAAGTGGTTTGATATAAGCTTGAGCTACATGGCCAAGGAAATGTGTAACATGCAAGAAAGCCATTTCCTGTAAAGTTGGTCTATAGCATTTCTGAGAACATAGAGAAACATTTTAGAATTCAGTGGCTCCTACAGTGATAATTGTTTAATGAGAAAGCAAGGAGAAGGTGACCTGCAAACAGTGTCCTGGGGGATATATTGTTTGGAGGACTGTGAGAGAAAAAGATTGGGGGGATAGGAAAACATAGTCCCAGAAGGTGTTCATCAACCTACTTAATACTGTTGTGCTTTCTAAGTAATAGACCAGTCAGGAGTGTGAGACATGGAAAAATGAGGTGGCTTTTCTTACCAGCCCTGTCACCTGTCCTCATCGCAAAGATGTCATTGCACCATCTCAATCCAGTATTATTAAATATCTAGGAGAGAGAAGAAGCCCGTAGGAATAACACTGCATCCTGATGCTATTAAGGATATGCTATAGAACAGAACTGCAGATCTGTGTGATATATGCATCTGCCTACATGGCCCCTAACTTGTGTAGATAAGAGTGCTCCTGTAAGAGAAGAAAACAAAGAAATGAAAAGGAAAACACATAGGAAACAGAAAATGTTGTTGTCACAGAATTAAATGTGTCTGGTGGTATTTGATGTCCATACTGAATGCTGTGTTCAGAAAAAAAAGCAAACCAAACTTGTGAAAATTAGGATCTAAAATGTCTAGATATACGCCAATACAGCATTAAGTTTCCCTTTTTTGACTGGTAGCCAAATAAATCCAAAGTATGTATATTTTCCCCCTGCCTTTGACCTGCACTGGATAGGACCTGCTTCCAACCATACTAAGATCCAACACTTAACCTGCTCCACAGAAGGAACACCACAGCTACTAAATTTTATAATGCCATTTACTCCCTTTTATAAACCTGAAGCATGTATAAGACTGTGCTTTCCCTTATGCAGCATTAAACTCTCAGCCTTCACTTCTCTTCCAGCTAAGTGCAGATACCCCACACAGATTTAGAGAATTGCTCCTGCATTTTAATACATTAATTCAGAGTTGGTGGAAACCACACTTGATCATCCATTAGGTATGTTCTGACACCTACCTGTATTTCCTGATTTTCAGAAGTTGGAGTTTTCTAAACTCAGACTTTAACTCAGTATTATGAAGGTTTTCTTTTTTGACATAGATAAAACTTATTTGGGTGTATGGTTTCCACCTTTCTTTGCTTAAATATTTTATGTATTCTAGAGATGTTTAGAAAAAGCATGACTGTAAATGCAATGTTCCTGCCCCAAACCAGAAAGAGAGGCTGCATGATGATCCGGGACTGTAGCGAATGTGACATCAGAAGCGGAGCTGTCTCTCATATATGGTCACAGGCAGTGTTTTACTATTTTATTGGAGGTTTTAGCCATGAAACATTGGAGATAAACCCCCTGATAATGTCTAAAAAGGTGAAGGTTGTTTCTATTGGCTCCTCCCTGCAGAGATGCCAGCATGTGAATCTATATATTTCTTCCCCCTGCTTTGTATTCTTTGTCAGACACAGAGAAGCCCTGGCAGAGTGAGGTGCATGCAGGGCAGTGCCCGCAGGGATGAGTGGCATCATGCCAGTAAAGGGGCACCTCTCCACTCAGCTGCTTTGCGTTCTTGTCCTACTTGTTCTTCAGCTAACCAACAGTGAGTATTGTATACATTTCTCTCTCATGTATTTTGAATTCTTTTTGCTAGGAATCAAGGCACTGAGAAAAGAGAGACATAAAAATACAAGAAGTTATTCTCTCGCTTGTCTGTCTCCCCAGTTATGGAGTCTGCATGATGAGCTGTTCAAACAGAGAGGGTTGTTTGGTTTATATATTTATAGTAATTGCTTGCATGGAAAAAAAAAAGATGAAATATCACTGATTTTAAAGGAGAAAACAAAAGTTAGAATGAAGTTTAAGATCCATCCAAAATAGGTTTAAAATCGAAGCCACAACCCAAGAATAGGAGGCTTGTTTTCTTAGGGGAATAATATTAAATTAGAATGTGCAACTCATAATGCGGTGGGTGTCATTTTAACTTTCATATCGAGTAACCGAATGTGAGAAGTGTCCGGTAATCCAATGGGTCAAGGCTGTTCTGTTCACCTGCAGCAATAAGAAGGATTTTTTTTTCCTCCCAACTGAGTATGGTATTTACCTCCTTTTCTTTGGTTCTTTGTTTCTTTCTTTTTTTCCTTCCTCTGAACTATCAGACTTTGCCTGCAGGCAGAGATGAGAGACTGAGCAGGGCAACTAATGCTCCCAAATTTTTCCTGAAACTTTCATGTCAAATCAATCGTTTGATTTGGGATGAAGAAGAAATTTTCTCCCAGGTTAGATTAAAAACATTTTTTTTTATCTTCCCCTTGTCCTCCTGTTTTGCACTGGGCATGGCCCTCTTTTTAGGGTCAACTACCATATTTTACTTAATAGATATGACCCTGGTAGTATTCAGATCTTTCATTCTCTCTCCTGTTGGTGGCATGCAGTAGTTTCCTTTTTGTTTTGTGGTCCTGTGCTGATGCTATGAGAGAATGGGCTGAGTAGTTCTTTGGTGGACAGTTGTGCCTGTCAGTCCAAAGGGCCTGGTCCCAGTGGCCCAAACAGTCCCTCTCAGCCCTGTGTTCTTATGTTCCTGGTGACTGGTGAACATTATGTCCCACATGCCATCCTGAATTTCTCCTCCATATCCACTGAGCTGAACATGTTTCGTGGTGGGTCTCCCTCCAGAGATCCACTGGGGACTTAGAATATTTACCGAGGATCCAGTATCCACTAGCAATTGGGCTAACATCCCTGGGTTCCCCACTGTAGCCCTCACAGTGGGTCTCCCCCATACATCACACTGAAGTCTTGCGACCAGCTGGGGAGGCCCGAGGAGAACCGGGCACCCCTATTGATCAGCAGACTCCCTCTGGAGCCTCCACTCAGGAGAAGAGACAGGGGTCTGGCGCTGACAGGGAGCAGGCACATGGGATGCACTCTGGACTGGGGCAGTGGGCTGAGGAGGTGCTCCCTGCATTAACTCTGCTCTCCGCATGGTTTGAGACAAAGCATTAATCAGGACACTAATGGGTTGGTGATCATATTTTCCCATATCTTCCCCTAAATTCACTAGCTCTTTCCAAATCATTCTCCTAAGGGTCTCTTTGGGCTGTCGTTGCCCAGGGTTGTGAGGCAAAGGGGGATTAGAATTGGGAGGGTGACTGGCAGAGTGAGGACCATTATTTGCAAAGGTGATAGCCTGCACAGGCTCTGATGTAATCTTTTTGCCTGCTTGTCTCTTTAAAACACCAGTCTCTCGCAGCAAATCTCCTGCCTGTTTGATTTTTGCCACTAGTTCATTCCAGCTTATGTGTTCTAAATCCACAAACCCTATGGTCTTTTTTGTCTGGGAATTTAACCCTGCATAGGTGCTCTGCATCAATTCAAGTTCCTGATAATGGGAAGTGATAACTCCATTCTCTTCTGTCTGGGGCAGTGAATCAGAGAGAGCTGCCAGCATTTTCTTTCGGATCAGGTAAGAT